GCTAGGCGCTGGTCGGGCGCCTAGCGGGCGCCTAGCGACTTCTAGAACACTGATAATAAAATGAACATGTTATAGAATAAGATGAACATGTTACATACACAATAAGGTGAACATGTTATAAAATAAGATTAATATGTATTATTTCAATCTGCAATCTGTAACATGTTCATCATATTTGAAAACATATTCATTTTATTATGTAACATGTTTATTATATGTCAGTATAATAAAATAATTACGAAAAAACGAAAAATTAGTTATATTCAAAAACCTATCAAATGTGGTCTCTACTTATAGATAATTAAAAATTATGAATTTTGGTATTTTTATTTTATTTTTTAATATAAATAATTAATGATATTTTAATTTATGTAATATGTCTCATTTTTCAATTAAAAAATGAAAAATAGGAATGTGCACTACACTCTCCAAATTTTCTTATTTTTGGGGTGAGGGAGGCGCGTACAAAATTATCCTGGCATACGGTAGTGCTACTGCTCATATCCATATCCACATAAATAAAAGTGTCAATTTTGCTTTATTGAAAATAGCCATCATCAACATTCCTAGTCCCAAATACAGGGCCGGAGCCCACAAATACACCCAACCAATTAAAAATTCGTAGTTTCGAAATTATCTAATAGCCACAAACAATAATCAAACCACAGGAGTCAAAAGCGGCTTCCCGGCAAAATGAGCCTCCAAGTTTCCGAGCACGAGATCAGCCATGGCCGTGCGAGTCTCCACTGTGCCGCTCCCTACATGCGGCAGAAGGACCACATTGTCGAGCCCAAATAGCCGCTCGGGCACATCGGGCTCCCTTTCGAACACGTCGAGCCCGGCCCCACCCAAGCGTCCTTCCTCGAGTGCCGCCACTAGCTGGGGTTCGTCCACATGGGGCCCGCGCCCGATGTTGATGAGGACCCCAGTCGGGCCAAGCGCATCAATAACCTCCCGGTTCACGACATGAGTTGTCTCGGGGGTTAAAGCGCAGGCCACGACCAGTATGTCGCAGTTGGAGGCCAGCTCGATAACAGTTTTGTAGTATTTGTAGTTTGTGCTTGGTTTCTCGGATCTTGAGTAGTAGCTGATGGGGCAGTCGAACCTTTCGGCCCGCTGGGCAATTGCCTGCCCGATCCGGCCCAAACCTATGATGCCCACTCTTTTCCCACTGAACTGCAAGATGCAATGTGTATAAAACGAGTTGTGAGTTAGGGAAGCTAGGACCATACATAAGTACAAAGAATAAGGTGGATTTTAAAGTACTACAACAACAACAACAACAACAACAACAACAACAACATACCCAGTATATTCCCAACTGGTTGGGGTCTGGGGGGTCAGTTGTACGCAGACCTTACATTTGTAATTATACAAGGAGACTGTTTCCGTAGCGACCCAAGGTACATTGCGTCGTTTGATATAATTTTTTTTTCTAGAAACTTCACTAATAGAAGAAGGATGATAGATTTTCTCGAAATTTAGCAAAACGTCCCTAGCTTTACTCAACCTTCATAAGCAGAAATATTTTGCATTTAATACAGTCTCACACTTAGGAGTAACTTGGGTAATTTCAAACTTAATGTTGTTCTTTTGCAGTTATTTATCCCAAAAGAACATCAAATTTTTTTTCGTACAATACTGCCATGTGCAATGATCTTCAAACTTCCATAACATTTTTTTTTTTTTTCTCTTTTAAAGAGCTTCAACGTCCATAACTTTATTGCTGCTGCATTTAAAATAGAAAACAGAAATGAGATAGTAACCATAAAAATACAGAATTTTACGCAAGTGAAATGTCTTCTTATTTATGCTCGAAACATTTTTCTTTGATGTCTTCGTTACATGGAAATGTCATGAAAAATAACGCGAGGCAGGGGTTGCAAGAGCACATAAACCAAAATTTATGTGAGCCATGTCAAGTTGAAGACTAATTAGCACAGAACTTGAAATATCTGACAACTGCTACAAGCAAAATAGTAAGTTCGGCAGTACGTTTACTCAAAATATACAGAGTTCAATTATTCTCAAAGGAGCGAAGTTAAGCAATTTTAATTATTATCAAGATAGCCTTTGATCACAAAGAACAAAGTAAAGAAAACCAGCACTAGAATTGGGATCATTAGAATTTCAACTTACCGCATAACTGAAATGCCAATCATCAAAGCAACTAGTATCGACAAACCATTATCCACTAGTATAAACTGAAATATTGATCATCATTGTAACTAGTAACGACAAACCCTTCTCCCTTTCTATTCGGAGAAAAGAGATCAAGATAATCTTTTTCATCTCCTCCTAAAATCACTGTTCTTCTACTCCCTCAAATCAGAGCTCCATATGGTATCAAGTTTCCTGTACCTCTTCACATTCCACTCGATTGAACGGTAAACAACTTCCATGAATACCAAATGTCAGTTATCATGTAAAGTTGCAACACGGTGAAACAACGATTGAAACACGAAATCAAAGTTCCTTCCAAAATGCAACATTTAGGCTATACCATAAGCCTCAAACCACGTTCACCTACTTATTAGATTTTTATTAAGCAAATAATGAGCTTGTTGCAGTAAAATGAATACATGTAAATAGAAGTGATTAGTACCTTAGATGTCAACTTGAAATCGCCATTTTTCCAGGCCCCTCTCCTCACATACCTATCACACTCACAAATCCTTCTCAACACAGCCAGCATCAGCCCGATTGCCAGGTCTGCCACGTCATCCGTCAGCACATCGGGGGTGTTGGTAACCCTAATCCCCTTCTCCCTGCACTTGGCCAGGTCGATCTTATCCAATCCAACGCTGAAGCTAGAAACAATCTCCAATTTCGGCAGCGCGTCGATCAACTCGGCGGTGGCGCCGGCGGCGGCGTTCCCCACCACGGCGCGGATCGAGGGGGCGTGCTGAGCCACGAATTCCGTCTGCTTCGGCTGAGTCCAGTACCGCAGGAGCCTGAATCGCTTGTCGAGCTCCTGCTCCAGATAGTTGTTCATCGGACACATCATCAGGACCCCGACGGCCTCCATTTTCGCGGCGGAGGGTGGCGGTGGTTGGGTGGTGGTGGAGAAATTGAAGTGGAGTGAGCTAGCGGGAGTCAATCAGGTGGTTTGAGGAAGTTTGTGCGTGAGGGCGATGAACGGCTGAAATCCGGGCCGCCGTAGTGTGGCTAGCATTTTATTATGGATGGAATTATTTTTTTCTTTTTCGTTTTTTTTTTCTTTTCTTATTTTTAAGGGGCTTTTCCTACAAAGTACCTAAACCCTTTTACATATTCTTTTTCAGTCCCCACACAAAAAAATTTCCTTTTCATCTCTATTACACTAAATATCTTACAATGAACTCCCTATGTTTAAAAAAAATGATAA